TTAAATTCAAAATCCATATTCTAAAGCTTATGCATACAAGCTTATGTAATAGAAAGGCTGCACCTCAATTGATAAGGTGAAGCTTTGCTGGGGAAATAAATGGTCACAATGTTGAGCGAATCAGGAGCATAAAGGAAGAAAAAGATGTGCAAAAGAGGTGCACAAGATAAACAAACTAGGGAGCAGAAGTTGGCAGGGGTAAATGTGGATATAGTTGGGGTTTGGCCTGCAAGAGCTGTAAGGATGCAATTCAAGGCTATTAAAACTGCTACTAAAAATAAAATGTGGCAGTAAAAATATGTTGGTAAATGCAGGTTCTTCTAAATAAAATCAACAAACTAGAATTGCCTATTGATAAAGGACAAAATAATTGAAACCAAACTAGAGGAAAGTAATGACTGCATGATGTATTTTAAGTGTTTAGCCACTTTGTGATCACAATGCGAATTTATAATTCCAAAAGTAAAATGCCCATTTGCTGTGAGAATGCTAATTAACCATACAGCAGAGCAACTGAGATTACAAGTGGGTGTTTTTCTAGTTCTCAGACCCCCTCTCAAACAGAACAAATAGCCATAGAGTTATTGTCAAGTTGACTGACGCATACTGATACTGTTAGACTTGGTCTGGGTATTTGTGTTCCAAAAAGCTCTGGTCATGAAAGGTGGGTATGTGCTCGATGTTCGAGTCGAAGAACAGTTCGACTCGAACATCGGCAGTTCGTGTTATCGGCAAACACACAAACTATCAGGGTGTTTGAAGGGGTAGTCACCCGCCGAGCGTCCCACAAGGCACTGCGCACCGCACAGTGACTTATGAAGCCCTGATTGGGTAAAGCAATGCACCTGACCACAGGTCAGGTGCAAGACATTACTCAATCACAGCACAGTGCACTGTGAGAGCCATGATTGGGCAAAGTAATGATGACTTTGCCCAATCATGGCTCGCACAGCTAAGTCCTGTCAGGTGTCGGACAAATGTAAACAGTTGGGCAGAGATAGCTAGCTATCACCTCCAGCTCCGCCCAATAGTTTATATTTTACCGGCATCTGTCAGAATGCCATTTTGCAGCGGGAGTTTGTTGCAAGCGGACAGGTTGGTGGGCGTCGTTTTTAAAAAAAATTATTATTATTTCTATTAATTATATTAAC